CCTGACGGCGCGAACTTCACGTCCTGTGATTGGAAGATTTCAAAGCCTCACTATTTAAAAACTGTTGACCCTACAACATTTTGCTATTAACATTTTCGATTCAGTTTTTCATGAGGAATACGTACGTATCGGCACCTCCGGGTGGTCTGAATCACCCTTATATATATGTAGTATTAACAATACTTGTAATAAATGTGTATTATATACAGTATATTATATACCATAATCGTATTACTTTTTAACTATGTATGTATGTATATATAAATGCATAGCAACGTGTTGAAAAATTCTATAATCATGAGCGCATTCTGTGTGAAATAGTTATTAATCATAATCGGTGACAACGGAAATGTTCCATTTGGCCACGTGGTGATTGGAATCACTCACAACTTATAGCATTGGTTTAATATTTTAAAGTTGGTATAAGACATGAAAGCTAATTTCTAATATAAATAAATCGGATCGCGTTCTAGCATCATGAACACATGCCCTAACTAAATAATATTTATACTGGTCTCAATAACATGCAGGTAGACTTATACTGACTTTCAAGGAAAGAGTTCGTCTTTTCCGCTTTCAACCGTCAGTTCGCATCACTTGTGATATAAGATATAATTAGACATATTTCTACATATTGTATTTAGTGTTCCTATCGTTTATCGATTGTTATCATGTCTGTTTCGCTCAAATTTAACGAAAGCCTTATAAGAGAGAATAATGATGAAGAACAAAATAAAGACTTAATTACCTTCAAACGTTGGTAAGTTTAGAGTTCCTTTTTATTTTTTAAAAATATATATTGACGAATAATTTTGAAATAATAATGAACGGATATTAATTATCCAGAATTAGACTTGTGTTTAATACGTTGATTTAGCCAAAAGATTATCCAACGGGATATTACATGTGCCTTCATAATATAAATGCGATTAAATAATCTTCTTTATGCATATTTTAATGCGACAATGAAAATTTATGTGCAAAGACTTTTAGTTCGGATCTACAATAGGTATTTTAAAACTTGAGCCGTAAGAAATTGACCAATTACAATCGAATGCAAGAAGAATAATTGACTATGATTCATCCATTTCTTATGGCTTAAGGCTTAAATATCCATTGTAGATCTAGGCTTATTCTACGATTGCAAAAGTCGGACACCAAAACAAAGTACAAGAAGACATCCGTTGGTTAGGCTAAGTCCGAATCCTTGTTTTAAGAAGCCGTAAGTCGTAAGCTTTAATTGACGATATATCGGCCACAGAATTTACGCTTTTAGGCGTAATGGTTTTGCTCAATTCGCGTAAGTTTAACGGTTAAAGCCTAAAAACTGCGCAAAAACAATTTAGAGACAGAAATTATTGTCACTTAATCTCTTTCGACTTATGACATAAGGCTTTTTAAAGCAATATTGTGGACTTAGCCATATGATAGCAAGAAAGGATAATTTTTTATCTTTGTAAAGCAGTATAG